AGCAGGAACACCAGGCTATACAAATCAACTTCTTGTACAATTTGCAGGCTCACATAAAAGCATCAAGTGTTTTATTAATTCGAGATTTTTTTAACCATGTAAATATGCAAGAGTTTGTAATTAGGTCACTTGTCTAGTCCTTATTCATAGGCAGTTTACTGAGGTTTTGATATGGATTTCAGACATAATCTGAAGGATGGAATGGTAGCTTTGCAAATTGATTCCCGGAATATCCTCCATACATGGTGACAGCAAAAAGGAAGGGCATAGCTCTTTGCAGAAGAACTGCAGTGATAAGCAATGGACATGGCCATCATTACTGGAACAGACAGGGAAGGCAAATAGGGATAGATAAAAGTTGGATAAGCAGAAGGGGCCAAGTTTTTAAGGTATTTACAATTATAAAATTACTGTTTACATGAAACACACTGAATTGTGCAGTATCTTATTTTACTGAGGGCCCAAAATCTATCACTCACCCAAAACCTGTGTATTTTTCATATGTTTCAATTTAAATGAAAACTTCAAAGCAAAAAGAGATGAAGCAGATTTGTATTGCCCACTTCTAAATAATTTCAGATTGAAGGATATTGGATAGACCTGGGAAATGAATAAAATGTGTGATTAATTAAATCAAAAAATTAAATGCTCTCTATTATTAGTCCAAATATTTGCTATGATTAAAAGTGCTCAGGGAGTGCAGAAGAGAAAGATAACATGGCTAAAGTAAACTTCCCATTTAAACAAATAAATATTTACAATTACAGAGTGATAGCAGATAGGCTACTTCTATAATTGTCTCTCAACATTCTGAGAGCTCTTTACTGCTGATAAGCAGAATTTATTTAACGTGTATGAATGTGTACAATTTTATTTACCACATAGGATTATACTTTGTATATTGTTCTTTCCCAATCAGTGATGCAGAGCAATTTAATTATTATTAAAAGAGCTGAGTTCAGTTTTAAGTAACAGGCTGATATTGTATGCTCTGCTCAGTTTAATAAGCTGCCAGTAATCATCAACAAAGAATTTTTCAGAGGTTATAGAAGTAATAAGTTAACAATATGTACAGAGCCAACTTGCCAATATGCTAATATGCTGAATGAAAAGGAACATATTGATGGAGACTATGTATACCGGTGAGAAAATAAATAAATTCTATTTCCTTATGGCAAGTAGGACAAACACAGAAGAAACAAGATTACCCAGTGCAAAAAATAAAATAAAATAAAACTAAATAAAATAAAATAAAATAAAATAAATTAATCCCCCCTGCCTTTGAATAACTAAGAAAAATAAGAATATAAATTACTTAAAGTGAATTAGAATTTAAAAAAAAAGAAAAAAAGTCCTAGAATTTTAGTGTAGTAGGCAAACAGGTCACCACTGCTAAAAGAATCTCTCATTTCTTAAAAGAAGATTGTACAAAATTTGCAGCCACTATATCTTTTAAAGACCAGCGAAAAACTTTTGGTATAACTATAGATAGAAATGGCTTAGGAGGATTCACACTAGTGCTAAAATTGTCTAGATTACATAAGAGGAAGAACACATTTCATAAAAGCATTGCGTAATATTCAACCTTCATGTAAACCATCAGTTTGTAAGTTGCCATGACAGAGACTATTTTTCTTCAATTATTCTATTTCTTAAGCATCAATTCAGGTATCAGTTCAGTTTCTTTCTAACTTTTTCCTCACTCACTTGCTAGAGATAGAAGAGAAATTATACATTCAGAAACATGTATTCAAGGGTTCTGTTATGTGTTGCTTTAGCATTGAACTTTTCTAAATTACTGAAGATGTAGTAATAGTAAAGGATAGCTGAAAGAAAACAGCTGCTTGTATTAACCCTTGCAAGTATATAATTTTCTAATAAATAAAATGAAAAGCAAATTAAATTGGAAGCATAATGGTAGGCAAATACACAAGTAAGCAAACCACAAAAAAAAAACCCAAAACAAACTGCTTCTGTTTGAAATAGTTTGAAGGCAGTAACAATGCTAACTCAAAAGATACTAGAGCTAATAAAAGTAGCAAAACAATTTTACTACATTTTCATTTTGAAGGCATTTGAGAATATCCATTGTTAATCTTAAAATATGTTAATATTTTCTGGTTTGCTTTGTTGTTTTTTTTACTCTATCATTTCTTTCCCATTTCACATTCTTTTCCTCAAAATTTTAAAAACATGACCTTGATGGAAGAATCCAGAAATAAAAAAAGTGCATGGAATCCAGGTGCAATCTTTCTATATAAAAGGGAATTATGTGTACAAAGGTGTTTGATTAAAGCTTAAAATGGTTATAATACTTAGCCAAAGTTTAGGCAAAGTTCACAAGATTTATCAAATCACCTATTGGTAAAGAATGCTTGGATGTGACTCTAAAATACATGTAATTATGTTTGCTTGGTTGGTTTGTCTGAAATAGATATAAAGCTGGAACTAAGCTTAATTTGAAGCAGTTTATGTATACTCAGACAGCAAGAAAGCTACTTTAAATTTGAAGATAAAATACACTTTAAACTCAAATACAGTGCCATCAATCAAATCAAGAGAGATCATAAGACTGAGACAAGACTTCACACATAACAGAATTAGGTCCTCTGTAGTTAAAAGGCTTGGACACTTTCCACTACAATGAATTGGACATAAAATTTACTGCTGCTGTACCTTGTATCTGTTCCCATCTATGTCTCTTTTATTTAAAGTTACCCCTTTTACACCATTATAATTTACTGTGCATAGAACTAGGAGCACCAAACAGCTAACAGGTTGGAGTCAGTAGCTGCAATAGTGTATTGCTATAGATTTTTCTTTTAGATTTATATGACAAGTGTTTAGAACAGCAGAAAATCAAAATTATTATTATTTAGTAACTTGGGTTTGGAACAGGATAACCCTGGGAAAATGAGTTCTCAGTCAAACATTGCTTCAGATTGCTATGACTATTAAGGGCCATAGCTTTAGCAAGTCAGCATAGTATCATTAAAGCCAATGTTGTAAAAAGATATATACACCTACATGAACAGTTGATATGATCTGTGCATCTACATGCCTCAAGACAACATTAAAATATACACTCAGCTTTGAAGATACATATCTTTCTTGAGTTTTCCCTTTGAACACATCATTTGGGTTGTAAAAAATAAATATTATATATCAACTTTCAGCATTTCTAACAAAGTAAATGCAAGTGTATTTTAAAAGAAAAAATGTAAGAAATTATTTCATTTGAATCATATTCTAATGATAAAACTAAGTAAGGTAAGAAAGGAAGAAAGGAGGAAAGGAAGAAGGGAAGAAAGAAATTACACACTAACTTGGCAGCTGACATCCATTCCAGACTCCAGAAGCACCTGTACAACAGCTTTGTGGCCATTACGTGCAGCAAGATGCAAAGGAGTGTGTTTTCTTGTATTACAGTTCATCAGGTTTGGATATGCTTTGATGATCATTTTTACAACACGCAGACGTCCATAAAGTGCTGCCAGATCCAGAGGTGTTTCTAGTTTGTTGTTCCTTATTGTAGGGTCTGTTAGCTCTTCTAACAGAACAGCAACTACTTCCGAATGACCATACTGAGCTGCACAATGCAGTGCTGTTTCATTTTCATTGTTCTGTTAAAACAAAACAAAAGCTTCAGAAATTCATGTTTAATCACACAATAGAACTGCTCGGCTTCTATAAATTGCCTCCATGAGATCAGTACACAGGCAGGGTTTGCAATATAATATATGCTAATGTATGTTAAATGCTTCAGAATGATTTCACTAAAATTTTACTAATAATACATTAATACATCAGCTCTGTAATCTCAAGCAGCTCAGGTCTCTATGTGTCCATGTTGTTCCCAATCCATTTTTAACAACATGCCCCAAAACCCCTTGTTGCTCATAAGCTGAAATATGTAACCCTTCTTGATTCAACTGTTCCTGAAATCATAGTTGAGACTCTCTCTTAGAAATACTCTGACACTTATCTTAAGTCTCTCTTCTCAGTATAACTGGTTTAAAATCGTAGCAATTTGTTATTAGAGTAGTGAAATTACAGAGAAAAACTGTGTAATGAGAATGTATCAGGCACAAGGCTAGTTTCATATATCTCTATAGAAGTTACTATCAAGACAACAGTCTAAGCCTGGAAGAAGGCAAAATAGCAACTGTAGATAGCAGAAAGACTTAGCATATCACGTAAGCAGCTAGTCTTCGCAGGGCTCCAGGGAGACGTACATGTGCATTTTAAGGCATATGAGCATTTCTGTGCTGTTAATTGAATAAGTTTTTGCTTTATAAAGCAATGCCCCCCAAGTGTTTCCCCAAACATTATTTAATAATCTTAATAATAAATAAATATTGAGAATAAGCAGTATCTTCTTTAATTGTTTTCTTCCAGTTCTGCCTGTATACTTGCATTCCCAAACAGACAAATAACTTCAGGCAGAGAGGAAGGAAATAATTTGTAGAGTTCTCTGAATTCTGCATACCATCTATATTATTAATATATCTTATGTAGTCTCTATGAAGCCTTAAAATAGACCAGACACTATAAATTTTAAAAGTATGTACTCTCAAAGCATCTTCTGTTATATGATTTATAAAATTTTGTGACAGCTTTGAAAATGTTGTAAAAGTAGAAAGCCAATAAGCTAATGTGTCATATAAAGAAATAATGTAAAATCAGAAAACATACTAGAGAAAGGTAGAAATATAATTCTAAAGAAGGAAGAGATAAATCTGAATCCATAGGCTGTATTTCTCAAGGAAAAAAATGAAGAAAGTTCTAGGGACAGAGAACTGAAAATAGAAAAAAGGATTTGTCTTTTGAAAGATGGAAAGGGGGAGAGAATCAGAGAAATGAGGCTTTGGCCTCTTACTCAAAAGCTAGCTAGGATAAGAAAATCCATGTTACACAGTAATATCTAGAAAGGTGGAAAGGGGGAAAACTTTTTTTTTCTTTTTGGTAACAGTGTTTCTAAGTCTATAATCAAGAACTTGAACCTCGAGTTTGTGGTTTTAACAATGCTGCTGTCATTTTCATCTCATCTTGTAATTTAAAATGACTCAGATGAACCTGGTAGACAGAAGAGACAGATCAACACATTCAGATAAATTAACGTTGCAGATAGATAAACTCTTCAGGTGTCTGCAACACCACACAAGATGCCAGACACTGGAATATGTTTCCTGTTAAACTGCAAGACAGAAGCTGGAAAGTAGGAAGAGCCAGGTAGAAAGTGAGAAGTTGCCATTGGCAGACATGGCTTGATGACTAATAAGTATTTGAATCATTGTGCATTATTCAGACCACCACGTGGTCTTTCCCTATTACACAGACCATAAATTCAGGTTAAAATATCTACTATCACAATACTACAGGGCTGCAATGATCTATCAACTACCTGCAATATCTTTTTTGTGCTATAGTGACTTCTAACATATCCTTTATACAGGACTGGGCAAAGTAAATTTTTATGTACAGTGGCAAACCCACAAATCACAAGCATAGTCTATTAGAATTTATTTTTAGATTTTCAATATTTCATGGACAGAACTGCATAGATGAACAGGCAATTGCAGTCTAATTTTGTGTACAATTACCACAATTAAGTATGAAAATCAGATAATTGCACATAAAATGGCCAATTATGGTAATTTGTGCCTACATTTACTGTATTTACATATCCAATGGAAATAGTTACACAAAGAAATTAGATTTATAACTATATCCATGTTCTGTGAGGTAAATAACAAAATACACATTACCATACAATTGTCAAACACATATATCTATCTATCCAATATCTATTATGTTTCAATTTTTTTCAAGCATTTCTGGATAATATATAAAGTATCTGGAATCTTGTGCCAATAGTCTAATATTGTAGTTTAAAAGTATTCTGATTAAACTTTCAGAGATATAAAAATTAAATTGGCTACGGACTTTTTCTCAAAATGTGGTGACTGGCCAAAATTTGAGCCACAGATAAAGACACACAGAGACCAACCAGTCCAAATCACTGCTATGGTGCAGCAAACTGAAATTTGCTCCCTCTAAATAAAGAACATCCAACTGAATTTTCATGCAAGGCCATATTTACAGAAAAGTGTATTTTAAAACAGCATGGTGCATAAAAGCATCTGTAAATCTGAACAAAATGTTATTATTTTCAAAGTAACATTGTTGAACATTTTTGTATGGTTTGTTTCTTTGCATTTGCCAAATTAAAGCTACATTTCAGTTAATGATTCAAAACTGATTCAAAATTATAAAGAACTAGGTAACACTGAAATAAAATAGCAGAATCCAACCTGGACAAACATGATAATTAAATTACCTACACATATGCAGTCAGAACAGGCATTGTATATATTGTGTTATCAGAGCTGAGAGGTACCACCTAATTAAAACTTAATAATACAACATCCTTCCCTCTTTAAAATGTAAATTAATCAACTCAATTCAGGTATAAAAGACAGAATGATTTTTAACTTTCAAAGAGAGAATTACAACTTGTTTAACTGCCCTCTAAATTTATCCGCTTTGACAATTTAGTACTAGTTACATGAAATAAATCACCTTGGAAGCAAGAGGTTTTACTGAGGAGAGAGGATAGAGTTTTTAAGTAGGTTTTGACAGAGCCATCTTCAAATTTAGGAAAGAAGGGAATGCCTACCAGATAGACACAGTTGGTTCAGCATTCCCAGAGAGACCCCTAAGATGGAGGAGGCTATAACAGTCTCTTCCTCTGGACTGGAAGAAACATCATCTTACCCCTTATGGGAAGATGGACATGGATGTCTCAGTCAGTATAACGAACTTCCACCTTAAGGCATTTCTTTATAGAAGACATACAGTAAGAATAAAAAAAAAAAACCCAACATGTGCTGATATTTTAAGAGTTGAAGTTACGTGATTTCCTTGGTCCCAAAAATGCTGTTACTTCTGACTTGTCTTTTTTGTGAACAAAGCCAACCCAGGTGTAACTCTATCGATTTTAAGGTACTGTTTGTCCTCATATCTCTAAAGTAGCTTATTATTTCAAAGAAATATTTGAAAGACATAAAAAATTATTCTTGAAAAAATTAATAATATTGTAGTACTATTGCCTACATTTTCTTTCCCAAATGTGAACAGTTGTTTCTGGAGTACAGAAAGTTTATGTGCTAACACTCATTGCCATGAGCAGTTAACCTGCTATGAAAATACAAATGTCTGCATGCAAGTCACCATTGCATGATTAGATCTCCAAATCTGATATCCAAGTGCTAAATAATGCATCTAGTGCTGAAGAAACAGACTAGAATGCTTTTAGAAATTTCAGATACTTCATTACATGTTAGAAACAAGATAAATCCTAACACTGAATGAGTCAAGAAAAAGAAAGATCTAGAAATCAGAACCAAATAAAACATACAAAATTTAAGACACAAAGAGCAGACCAATATTATGCAAAAATAGTATAAAACAGAAGTCACTAATATTCATAATTAATATTTTAAACAAGTAGTTATTCATATGGCCCAGTGGACCTCTTTCAGAAATAAGGAAGGCATCTTATGATTCAGCTTTTAACCTTTTGTAATTTTCTTCTTCATTCTCCATTACATGGGTCTCTTCATGGGCATGGTCCTGACATTTTCTAGACTTTCTCTGAATCTGTTCTCTTCCGCGTACAGCCAGAACTCAGACTTCTGTTGCTGCAAACTGAATTGTGCCTTCACGGCATTACATCTGGTCAGTACTGCAGGCTGTACTACATCATTTAGCTACTGAGAACGCATGCCACCACAAAATCTAGAACACCTCTTAAGGTCTATTCATTGGAGGACAGATTAGCAAATATGTTATACAGACACTTACTGTAGCCTGGCAGTCTGATAGTGAAGAGGTGCAAGAAATATCAAGAGAGTGAATGGCTCTCATGAATATTATACAGGTCCTTGTAAAGACACTATTAGACAGTGGATATATTTAGGACTTAAACTGCATAGCTGTGTAGTTTAAAGCTCCTAAAGTCCATGCAGGTACTGTACAAGCAATAATGACTATCAAGTAGTGATTTTACAGACCTTTCCAAAGAATGCTCAACTCCTTTATTATCTAAGAATTTTTATGATGAACTTGAAAAGGGAGACTTCCTAAATCATTAAGCCATTTCTTTGTCACATAATCCCAATGTCAAGTAACTGAACAAGACAATATTTCCAAGACAGAGAAAGGAATGATCTCAGGATGGTCTTACTTCATCTGTTAAAATAGGAAGGCAGTTTCCTGAGAAGTTCCATCAATGTACGTTAATAATCCTGAAAAAATAAGGAAGTTTGTCTGATTGATTCAGCAAGTAGTATGTCACTGTATTTAATTACAATGGGAATTAAAGTGTTTTCCTGGATGTCTAGGGCAAAGGCTGAACAATGTTACAAAAGGAATTCTGAACGCAGCCAAGAATGAGGACGACTCTTGGGAACAACATTGTGACTTTACTGTCCACTCTCTCTGAGGAAGGGAACAGGTTTTTACATGGTGCACAGATTTTTACAGTTTATGTGGAAAAATAGCTAATGACATTCTTCTCCTTATCACACATCATCAATGAACCTGTCTAATTTGAAAGTCATGAAAGAAATAAAAAGCCCATAAATTTCCTTATCAAATGCTCTCTTAAACACAAAACCAAGCATTAGAATTTAGGCATCCCTAATATTTCCAGATATATTTTCAAAACTGCTTTAAAAATCAAAGCATTTAAGACAAGACTAAATATTTTCCCTTTTCATTCTGCTACAACTGTAATTGTACACAGATGAAAAAATTATTTACAACTTTGCTTACATTCAAAAATTTACAAACCTGAGAGTTCATACCTATTAGGTATTTAAAAGAAGCTGTATATTGTATCACTGGATGTGTTTCTCTGACATTGTTGGGGGTTTTTTAAGACCTACCATTCCTGATTGAATTTTTTCTTTACCACATGCTACCCTGCTCCATTTCTATTTTTTCCTTCTCAGTGCAGTTTAAGCCTCTGTATTCTAATCCCTAATGAACATTCCAATAATGAGTGGTGTCCCCCTAGGGTCTGTACTGGGACCAATACTATTTATCATCATCAATGACATAGATAGTGGGATTGAGTGCACCCTTAGCAAGTTTGTGGATGACACCAAGCTGAGTGATGCAGTTGACACACTAAAGGGAAGGGATGCCATGCAGAGGGACATTTGACAGGCTTGAGAAATGGGCCCATGTGAACCTCATGAAGTTAAACAAGGCCAAGTGCAAAGTCCTGCACCTAGGTTAGGGCAATCCCCAATATCAGTACAGACTCAATAATGAAATGATTAGGAGTAGCCCTGCAGAGAAGACTTGGGGATACTGGTGGATGAAAAACTGGATATGAGCCGGCAATGCGTTCTTGCAGCCCAGAAAACCAATCTTATCCTGGGCTGCATAAAAAGAAGTGTGGCCAGCAGGCCAAGGAAGGAATAATCTCCCCCCCCTAACAAGGGTAGACTCTTGTGACACCCCACCTGGAGTACTGCATCCAGCTCTGGGGTGCTCAGCACAAGACAGACATGGAACTGTTAGAGCAGGTCCAGAGGAGGGCCATGAAAATGACCAGAGGCCTGGAACACCTCTCCTATGAAGAATGACTGAGAAAGTTGGGGTTGTTCAGCCTGGAGAAGAGAAGGCTTGGGGGAGACCTTATTGCAGCCTTTCAATATAGAAACAGGACTTGTAAGAAAGATGGAGAGAGACTTTTTACCATGGCCTGTGGTGACAGGACAAGGACCAATGGTTTTAAACTGAAAGAGGGTAGATTTAGATTGGATATAAGGAATAAATTTTTTGTGATGAGCGTGGTGAGACTTTGGAACTGGTTGCCCAGAGAAATTGTGGATGCTCCATCACTGGAAGTGTTCAAGGTCAGGTTGGACAGGACTTCGAGCAACCTGATCTAGTAAAAGATGTCCCTGTCCATGGCAAGGGGGTTGGACCAGATGATCTTTGAAGACCCGTTCTGACCCAAACCATTCTGTGATTCTATGAACATGTTCTAATGAATATCTTTACCATAGAAGAACAATATGATGACAAATAAAGATGACATTGTCCCGTAACTTAGAGAATACTTGGACTTAGATAGTAACATTTTTTTCAAAAAAGCAATTTTTGTAAAAGTTATTGGGAAAAATTCTGCTGCAAATTACCCATTGTGAAACAAAATCAGACCTACTGAATTCCCATTGAAATTCACGTTTACTTATGTGGAAACAAAATTAAAAAGTAATTCTGTAATTTGGTTGACTACTTTGAATAAATGTTTTTTTTCAAATTTATTGCTGCAGTTGGCTCAAATCAAAAAGATTGCCTCTGCACATTTTCTTCTTCTAAAAAGCACATAATAAGAGTTGCAAGGGAAATACAGAAATTCATCCACATAGTCTGTAATTTAAGGGGAAGGGGGGAACATCAAATGCAGAACGTGAAAATTATTGTTTTTGCAGGCTACTTTGGAACTGAACTATACTTCTGGAAGTCCCTGAGGTGTCACTGAGAGAAACATATAATGCCTGTGCTTCATTTTGATGTTTTGGGGAAGACAGTAAGTTTGTTAGATATTTACATATTATGAATGCATCCTGAACTCTTTTCCTTCACATTTCAGAAGTGTCAAATGGCATGAAGGAAATGTGAGTGTTTTTTATGACAATTACAATTTGATGCACAGAAAAATTCTACAATACATTAAATGCATAAATGTAAAGAAAAAGGTGTGCTTTGTGCCTAAAAAAACCAGGCAGAATCACAAAACAGAGAACATCACCGAGACATTTCAGAAGTGTTCACATTTTTTCCTGTAAATGTTTTACTATTCATATTCTGTCAATATATATTAAAAATATATTTTGAACTTGATATTTATTCCTGATGTCATTCACCTTTTTTGCATGTGATTTCCTGCACTAATACCAAGCACTACATATTGACCTATATGTGGCTGTTATTTATTATTAGTTGTTTCATAGATTAGGATTTCTTATCAGTTATGTAACTTTATGATGAGAGTTGTCATAATAAATGTTTGTGCTACGCAGATGTCTTCACATAAACAAACATGTAAGTAGTCTGACTGTTAACAGCACACCTTTTTATTATATTTGGTGTTAATTTACTAACAAATCTTGATCTCATACTACCTACTTGATCTTCATTCAATTCATAATTTACATATTTTCAAGCCTTCATCAGTGAAGTTCAAACACTTACATGTTTTGTAATTTCACCATATTTTGTAATTTAAAACATACATCATGCATGCCAACTAAGACATCTGTATTAAACAGTGATAGAATTATTCTTACATAATTGTTATGCTGTAACCATTTTATGTGTGTAGAGTTGCCAGTCTACATTCCACCACCCCCATAACATAATTGTCATTTAACTGTTCACCTCTTTACTGTTTTTTTCAATTTTATGTAATAGGAACAGTAGGGGGCATTCAGAGCTTTAGATGCTGGATATGGCTGGATATGATCCTATGGTGCTAGTTAACTGCATTTTAAATGTGTAGAATGCAGTTCAATTAATTTACAGTATACCATATTAAATCCATTAATTCATGTATTATACATTTATGCATCATGAGCTTCTCATTTACTTCTTTGTTGTGTTGTTCATTACTTTCACTTAAGTTTTTAGAATCTTTTCTTTTACATAGAATTTTAATAAAATAGATTAAAAGCAAAGATGTATTACAAATTAGATGCTACAATTTTTAAATAATGAACAAAATTATTTTCTTAAACTGAAAGCACATACATTCTTAATGTGATCTTTACCAAAAAACACCAGGAAAAAAAGCCTGACTTGATTATATTACTTGCTGTGGTGAAAAAGTGTCAGGAAAAATGGCTATCCTTCTCCCCAATTCTCATGAGAAAAAAGAAGGAAGAAAAACAGCCCAGGATTTCTTACAAGCTGTAGCTTCAGCTCCACAGATCTGAGAAAAGCTAGGAGAGCTATGAGGAGCCACCTGCCTTATATGGCCTATCAGCAAATAAGCAAAAGCCTCAGAAACCTACAGGCTCATAACAATGAAAAATAGGTATTAGGGTGAGCATGCCACTCCAGTGTTATTTGAGGATATGTGGGTGGACATGGCTTTATATCAACATGGCATTTCCCTCACTCTATGATATGGATAATATTCTCCTGTGTAGAGTGCTAATTAGCACAGGAAAGTCGGTGCCAGCAAAGTGGTCCACCTGCTAAAGCTGGCCACTGTCTAGCGTGGAACACCAGGGAATTTATGAGGTCAGAAGAACTGTGTAAGTACAAGTTTTAACTTCGAAGTTCAATATGATCAAGACTCCCTTAAGAGACTCAAGGTCCAACATTTCTTGTGAGGATTGCTCACACATTTGCGTTATAAAGTTTTTGGGTAAAATGCAGAAACAGCAGGATAGCTAACGACAAGACCTTTTTTGAGTCAGTGTGGTATAGGATCAGATGCATCCCTGCTTATTTGCTCCAGTGATCAAACCGGAGAGACTGGACAGAACACCTAATCAAGTTTGAGAATATTCTACAAGTTTGGATGTATATGTGGGATTAGGAAGAAGTAGGTAGATGGTGTCAGATTTTAATTGCCTTCTTTCTTTCTGTTTCTAAATACTAACCTTACAAATGGACCATATAAGAATATACTGAATGAAAACAGAAGGTGTGCCATATGTTTGACAACAGAATGCAACATATTTATCCTGCCCTTACCCACTGTAATACTCTCATCACTTTTTCCTAGTACTTATGTGTCCTTTCTGCTGCACATGCATACATGCAGTCCATCTGGTTTCTCATTTTTCTCTGCATACCAGTTCATTTACAGTACCTTCAAAACATACCGAGAATATTAATTTTATCTCAAAGTTTTTCAGGAATTTAGTATCTAATAAAGTTAAAAAGACACAGAGTTTATAAAAATTTACATCAATATATATAAGATGCATAGTTAGATTATGTCTTCATATGATTTTTCAGAAGCAAGCAGAAGGTTTTTCATACTTCTTAAATCTAATTTCCTTTAGGTCAGGGTCCATCCAGAAGACAGACATCTGGTATGCTTATATTGGAAGATTTTATCAGTCTTGGAGAAGAAATTGCTGAAACAATGGAAAATAGATTTTTTTTTTTTTAATTTGGCAATAAGTTTGCCAGACCTAAAGAATATGTGCTGCTCTTTTCTGATGATGTACACAAGTATTTTTTATCACTTCACCTGTTCATTCACTCTGGAGTGTGATGGCCCATGATGGATGAGAATCTTCACAATGTCTACATCTCCTCTCCAAGCAGCCAAGTGAATAGGAAAATAACCTTTATTATCTGCCACATTAGTTGATGCTTCATACTGAAGTAATTTGAGAACTATATCCCTGGAAAACAGGAAGTAAATCTAAAAATTGACAGGAAGCTTATTTTATTAAGTTTTTACATGAACATACATATTGCCAAAATTTTTACCCTGAATAACAGAAAAAAACCCCTGTATTTCAAGTGAAACTGCTACAAAAATGAAGACAAATAATTTCTAAGAATGAAATATAGTAAAACATAGCCAAAATGTTATTCATTGTAATGATTGTTACTTCTTATGAATACCCATCAACATATTATCATCAGTTCTCTGAATCTGTTTCTTTCAACAGGGTCTCCTGGCCGTGGAATAATTTTGAGAATTTGCCAGTCAAGGCCACGTGCATGTCCCTCAAGACAAACTTTCCAGGCACTAAAGGCAGAGAAGTACTCCTACACCCATCATACTGAGTTCTGCAGGCAGGGAGACAAGAGGGTAGCTTTATGGACACAGTTCTTGCAGTAAGGCTTAAAAATAACAGGTTTTCTTCTTCTTTAAGGCATTATCTCAGAGTTCTTTTGGAGGAAACAATTTAATGATGATCTAGTTAGATAGATACTATCTTCTATGGAATAAATGTTTCTATTTTCATTTCCCACATCCAACTTCCTGAAAGCAGTGAGGAAAAAAGTAACTTTTATTATTTTAATTCTTATTATATACCTTTCAGTATTTTCAGTGTGGCTTATCACACATTAAATGAAAGATTAGTATAAACTGGTATATTGCATCCCTGATTTTTAAGCAGTCTTCTGTACTTAACTTCAAAGATTAAACTTAAAAACTGTGTGGTATGATCACTTGTTATCAACTATGTCAAAAAGTAAATCAATTCTGTCTTATCTCTCCATTTGTCTTCTCATAGTTTGACACAGTCAGGCCTCATGAGTTATTAAGTTAATAGCACCTATGATCCAGTGTGGGCAGTTCTGTACCCATTTTTGCTGAATATGGAAACACTGTCTCTTTCCAATTTTGCTCAAAAAATTGCGGGGTGGGCGTGTGGAAGGAGCTTGGTGCAGCCTATGTTATGACTATAAATGAAGGCCTTGACTACAAATTAAGACAGAAGGTAAACCCTGAGGCAATTGTTCCCCCAACCTTGATGGAACCTTATTTAATTGCCTATTGAGAGAAAAATGTGGCAAGTAAGAGTGAATATATCCAGGTCAAAAGAAACTCCCAACTGTCTCCAAAAGAAATCATAGAGATACTAGAGTCATCACATCTAAGCTTTGAAACATTAAGCTGGATTTTGCTTTCTCCTGACAAGGTCAAGTAACATGAAAACAACCAAGAAAGAGCAGCTCCACTACAGAATGACTTTTGCTACACCAAAAGTTCCAGAAAAGTGACTCCCAAGACTTTTTAGTACAAATAAGGTTTGAGAGACTTCTCATGTCATAATAGTTGGTCTTGCAGTAGATGGTCTAATGAAAGCTAGAGATACAGAGTAGTCTGAAAAGGACACAAATCAAAGGAAACAGAAATTGAAGTAAGTGGGCGAAGAACTGCAAAAAAGCCCTCCACAACTGAAATCTATAGATAATGATATACAGCAACTATTGTCAAGAGTCTGTTGCAAGATTCAAGCTACAAATTAGAACCTAGGTCTCCTTCATCCTTCAAGAATGCCCTGACCCATCACACCTCTCTAGGGTGAGTCTTTTTTAGTGCTCTGCCAGAACTTTTTCATTTTGTAGAAATAAATTTCAGAGAGGAGAAGACTGACAGTCCTTAGCCCAGTAACATTACTGGGCTAAGTAAAATTACTTAGAGAGACTGAGATTCAATTCCCTGCCCCAGATATGATTTAATTACTTATATAAAGCAGAATAGTTTCAAAAGGGAAGAGAACTATCCCAGAATAACCAAGGAGGAGGGAATTCATCACATACAATGATCAAGCAGGGACTTGAACACTGCTGTCCAATAAGTGTCCCAGCCACAATTATTGGTTGGGTCATTAAGTCTTATGTTCACACTTTTCCTGAAAAACTTTGAAATCTCTCAAGTTCATCCTAATGTAAAGTGTGAAAAATTAAAACCCCAAAAGTTTTCAAAGGACAAGAACTTCTCCTAAGTGGGAAGGCTCTCATGTCAACAGATTGTACCCAATATTGATTTTGAATATCAAGTTTCAAATCTGAAACAGAGTGTAAAGCTCTTCATTTGTTGTTCGTGGTGACTAATGAAATTACAACCACCAGGTGTCTGTCCAATTCTCTTGCTGACAGTGCTACCACTGTAGCAGGATCAGTATGATGGCTTGCATAGCACACCCTGAACCATCATGATTTATCATGAAATACCTCATAATGTATTTCAGTTTACTTTAGTACAACAAGCTATAAATGAGATGTCAGCAACTGCTACTTACCCTGCTGTGAGGGTAAGGGGTCATAGCAGCCAGTGGCCGTTACAACCTTTTCAAAAGCTGCAGCTATATCTGCTGCTGTACATAAGTCCTCATCTTGAAGTTCTCGCTGACTCCAGCAGAAGTTTGGCCAACACTGTGTCTGAAAATGCTATTTGGCTTTTGTACATTTTGGGATTTTATAGTTTATATTGCTAGGATTCACTTGAAATCTCTGATAGATTCAGTGTTTATACAGCAATATTTTTACTTTGCCGGGTAACTATTGGTTTATAGTCAGTATTCAACATACTAAAACCAGTTTTTGTCTATTTAAAACCAGCAGTCTTTGCAAGCTAAGGCTTGGGCTTTTGTCAGTCAAAAATGTGCAATGGCATAAGAAACAATCCATAAACTATAAACAAGAGAACTGTGATTTTCTCCCTTTTTAAAAAAGGCTGAGATAATAGACCATATTAAGGACTTAGACTTAATTCCATGGAGGTAAAATATATTAATGGATGATTCTGAATCTTGCTACAGAACTGAAATTTTGGAAAATGCACAATACCTACTTTAACTGTAGTTTAACTTAATTTATTTATTCAGAAACTGAATATCCTATATTCACCAAAAGATTAATCTGGTCTAAAGAAAATAAGCAGGTTTCTGGAATACAATTAAAGACACATCCTAAGGTTTTAATTTTTCCAAGGAAGAATGCAAAAATTGTGAAATGAGGAAACTAAACATATAATTATTATGGATTTGTATGTTATCTTACGGACAGTCCAAAATCACATTAAAGTTAGAGCAAATGGCTCTCAGTTTCAGTTGTTTTTTGATCAGTTCCTTATCTCCCGCAGAGGAATAATCCAAAGCCTTATGTCAAAATTTTCCTTAGTGAAAATCCAGGCAGTGTTAACACTGGCAGTTTACAAACAAGATAGCTGGACTGCCTTAAGAGGGGCAGCTCTTGCCTTGGTTACACTGGGGTCTATCCCACTAGAACTTTATAGACATTAAACTCTTTCTTTCTTGTTCTGCCTTAATAACAACATACAGTTGGCAGCATAATACAATGGAGGTAACGTAGCAAGGGGCAACATGTAATAACAGTGGTAACACAGAACAAATTACAAGGTATAATAACAAAATATGTAGCAAGTTTCCAGTTTTTTACTGACATGTCAATGCCTTTAAGAGTTCACCTGCAGTGCTATACCTGTGCAGTACCCCTCAGTGGGGATTTTGCAGGCTTTCCGCAAGCTTGTTGAGACATGCATGTGGTAATTTGGATGGACAGCAGGAAGGGAAAAGCTACAAGGTCCAATACTATTTTTCTGCTTTCAAGTGTATAATTACTCTACTAAATTTTCTTATCATGGTACTTTTACTTTGATAATATTAATCGATTCCACAATATTGCTTCCGTCAACATTCAACGCACTATACATTTGTACATACACAAGTACACTACAACATTTTCTGTTGTAATTTCCCACCAGCTAAAAAGCACTAGAGCTACCACTAGCAGTAACAATAATAAATTTACTCAAAATCAAGCATGAATTTGGAAGAACTAGTACAGAATCAATAACTTCTAAACGGCATTTCTCATTTTTTATTACTACATGCTGATATCAATGACAGTGTCAAAAATCCTTATATTAATATATCCCATCAGAAATAAGATTACTTTTGTAAGACAGGATTTGTCAACTTTCTGGAAAATCTCCGTGCTATGCTACATATTTGTAAGTTACACCGTTAAATACCATTCTACATGAAAACTAAATGTGAGGCACTTACTTGTGTCCATTTAAAGCTGCATGATGTAAAGCAGTATAACCTGAACTGTCTGTGCAGTTTATATTTGGTCCTCGCCAGATGCTGCAAATAAAGCACAATTGTAAAGTTATTTTTTTGGCTTGGCAAGTACAGAAATGTCAGAAATTTGATGTATAAATAATCTAAAGACCACTGCAACAAGTGTGATTAAACTTTAAGAGACAAATTATCTTGAAAAGAATTTAAAATGTTGTGTTGATATCAAAATAATTTATTTATAATTTTACACATTCATCTTTATAGCCGTCATGAACTTTATGTAGGGCAGTCTGAAAGACTAATAACTATTCTGTCATTTCAATTATAGAATCATAGAATCGTTTAGGTTGGAAAAGACCTTTAAGATCATCCAGTCCAACCATTAACCCAACATCACCAAGTCCACACTAAACCAATTAAGGGTAGACTAGACTAAACCATGTCCCAAAGTGCCACTAGATCTGTTCTCCCAGTATTACTGTGGTAATTACACTGAGGTTATAACCTGATTTTGCACTACTTTTTTTCACAAGTATATATTAATTGACTTTAGGTCAGCTAGTCTGGATTCATACAAACATAAGATTAGTGAGATCCAATTGTATCCTTTAAAGACACAGTAAATGTATTCTTTTTACTTGGCCTGATCTTTTAGCTCCCATTTTAACCAATTATATCCTTAAATAAATTACGTATATATAAAACAAAAGTTTAATAAATAAAAGTTTCTTTTTTTGTTATCTTTCTGTATTTTACCACACTTATTTTACAGTCAGCTTCATTATATGTCCCATGCAACCAGTTTCACAATCTATTACAGACTCTTCGCAAAACAGTAAAGGAGACTTTTTGTTTCAAAGTAGAAAAATGTAACTGCTAATCTACAAAAAAAAACCCCCAAAAAACCAAACCAAAAACCCAATCACCACCGAAGCCTGGAAATTGGATACCAGAGGCATATTGAGTACCTGCAGATTTTTTGCTAACTGACTACATTTGAAGCTGATTGTATCCTTTGTGGAAGCAATTTTCTACCTTTTTTTTTTCATTCTGTAACACAGTTTTCAGTCATTAGTATTACAACTTCCAGGACACAAGTTTATGAGTTCTGAATTACAGTCTGTTTTCTTCGGCTTCTAAGACAGTGTTAAACAGTCATTGGCAAGCAGTATTTTCTCTTCACTTCATACCTTAGAATCAAGTGCTGCAGTTTAAAGAAAATAATCTGAAGCTAATAGGTAAAAAGAGTTTTTAATACTAACATTCTTCATGCTCTACATCAATAAAATGACATGTTATGCTTAACATATGCTTTTTAAGAATTCTTTACTACTGAATCTGTATTCTATTACCAATGGAATACTTGTGTTGCAAACTGGTCTCTTTTTCATTTTGTATGTTTGAATGATTAATTAGTTCATAAATTTAAACAGTTGTTTTCCCATAAGTAATACTGCATGCACACAGAATTATTTGTGTGACACCTTGTGTTCTGCAGTGAGTGTAGTTCTACATACTGCTGGGTACCTCACCTATCCCTGCAATTTAATTTCTTGGAAAAACAGGACTGAAATATTTTCTTGGGTGCAAAGAAGCAAAAAAATGAAGGAATTTTTTTTTTTAATTGTCTCAGAAGTCTATAGATGTTCTTTTCTACAGAAGGCAACTTCCAGCTACCAAAGTCACTCTAATCTTTCCAATTAAAAGACATTATTTTAACTTCATTAATGATAACTCTTCCATAATAGACAGATGTTATTTATATGTCAAAGACAGGCTGTTCTTACCTCTTGGAAGGAAAGAAGTCCTTATCTATCGATATTCTATAACTTCTTTTATACTTTTGCATAATACTTCATTAGTTATTTTCTTATTTATTGGCTTCTACTTTCTTCCTTTGACTTGTACCAACTTACAGAAGAATGAAGCAGAAAATTGAAAGTGGTATAGAAAGTTGTATTTTAAATATTAAAATAAATACATAAAAGACCAGAATACTAATTTACTTGGTTTTGCTTGCTTGCTTGCTTTGCTTTACATTTGTTAGGATTTGCCTGTTGGTTGTTTTTTCAAAATGCAAGGGATCCATGAGTTCATTTATTATTCATGATGCATTAGGCTGTTAAAAAATAATTAAAAAAAACCAAAACGAAAAAACCAGCCAAAACCTAGTTCTTTTCTGCCCTAATTTTCTCCTTTAATCCAGGCACTCTTTAATGTATTGTTGTACTTCCTGACTCTGGTCTTAGGAAATATTTTTCAACTGAAACTACACTGATTTTTTTTTATAACTGAAACTTTATTAATTAGTATATAAATGCACCTATGTGAAGCTTCTCAGGACACTCAGATTGGGAGACAGAGGACAAAGGAGAGCGAGTAAATCCTGATGACTCAGAGAGATGAGACAGGATGGACAGACTAATCACTGTCAGCTCCCAATCAGTACAGAAAGACATGCTCAAAATCACAACTTGGTTATCAAACTAAAGAACACATGGGCAGGACTCGGCTGCAGGCATTTCTTTTCCCTTGGGCCAGTGCAGAAATACCCTCCTAGGAGGTCTTGCATTGCTACAGTATTGCAACATTATTTCCTACAAAATCAATGCAGGTTCAGTATATACACTGGTTATTTATAACTGACAATCAAATTCAAATTGGACAGTCTGCAAATAGATATTCTTACACCCTAAAACTCCCAGTTGTGGTGAATAGTTCATCTAAAGCTCTTCTCTTGTAATCAGAATACAGCAAGGCAAAAGTATAGTGGTGTATTAGCTCCATAAAAAAGCACCTAATTTCAAAGAAAAGTGGGGTGGAGAAAGAGAAAAAGCCTAGAGAGCCCTTCTTTGGCATCATAAACACATACAATACACGAGCAATTATCAAACATATTGATTTATGTGTGTATTAAAACACTTCAATTGTTACTGTGAAAGTAACACTAAGGAGAACTTGGAACAAAACAAATTATCATTCAACCTCCAGAAAAGAAGATTTTGACAGAAGATTAGCAGCTCTTTAGATTACCATTAATATTGAATGTTCTCAAAAACATGTTTCTCTTAATTCTTTGATGCAGTCAATAATCAAGATTCTTAATCTTACATACATTAGTGTTAGGAATTTTTTTTCCTATGTACATCAGTAAATTAGGAAAACCTTTCTATCACTTAATGAATTTTAAGAAAAGAATTGAACCTACTTCTTGTGCAAAAAATCAGTTTGCAGTCAATGATGAATTAAAACTCTGAATTAAAACATGATCATCAATTAGTTTCTTCCACTATAACTTGCCAAAATGAAGCACAAAGAAACTGAAATCTCTTATGCTACTTACACTATTGCCAAAAGCAGAAAGACCTTATTACAGTTTGCTCTCACTGCGGACAAACAATATTGACCTTTTGAACTCATGTCAAATATTAATTGGAAATACTCTTTACTTGGTAAGAAAATTAACATTTGTTCTTTTTTTATGAGCTGAAGATAATGACATGTAAAGAGTAGCATTTCAAAAGTGATATGAAAATGACAGACTAAAGAAAAAGATGGTTAGTTGATTGATTTGTTATTTTGCTATGCTTTTTGCTATATGCAAAAAAATCATTGTGAAGTGGCTGGTGTTACACACATATGAACACAAAAGCAAGGAAATCAGAAGTTAATTCAGCTAATCTTCATCACACAGGCACACACCATATCAACAGTAGAAGAACTGTGCATATATGCACAGAATGTCCATTACAACTTTAAGTCTGTTCCCACCATACTTCCCCTCTGTACATATACGTTCATTATATTATTTCATTATTTCAGGATAATTTAATTATCAATGCACTAATATTTATGGTCTTTACATGGTAGTTGTGCCAAGGTGAAAAGAAAATATTTTGGTAAAACAATGATAAGAGTCTTTAAAAGCTGTAGAAAGCTGACTGAAGACATCAGTGTCTGTCTGCCCATTGGTTTCACTTAAACCTTATCTGACAACTGATTGGTAGCTCTCTTTGGAATTTATTTCTTCTCTGTAACAAAATGGCAAGGAAGAGGATGACACTGTCTAGATACAATCAGTTCCTCCAGAGAAGATGGACAGAGCATCATGCCTGCATATCTCAGGGTCTAAACCCTGTTGATGGCTGAGAGAGGCTTAGCATATGCCTAGTCCTCACCTCTCCCACTCCTCTCCCCACCTTCTTTCCCAGGTCTTCAGTATCTGGAAGCTCTTCCTAGAGACCCCACTGGCTCTTCAGGGCTGTAGAAGCAGTGAATCTTGCCAGGTCAGTTTTAGTAGTGGGAGCTTCATCCTGTTCCCATTGATGTCAGTGGCAAACACCAAACAGTCCAGATAAATCTAGTTTCCTTATTGTTCCTGTGTTCCATTGAATAAATATATATTACAGGAATTTGTGGTGTTCTGAGCCAAAATCTTCTAAAATTTCCATGTTTATTGTTGTTAATCTGACAGGAACACATTGCCTAAAGTTATTAGAGCACATAGCCAGGCTCCTATATGCATTAGTGCTCTGCCTACATTCATACACATTTTCAGTCATGTAAACTGAGCTTATACAAAATACATGGACAATTTTACAGAGCATTTTTGCAAATGCAAACTTTTACACAATAATTTGTATCATCAGTTATTCAGACACAAATTAGTAATGTTACTTATTGTGAACAGCAGCAAAATAGCTCTCTATTTTATGCACAAATAAATCAAATTGACAACGATGTTGCTCTAACTGGTATAAATTAATAATGTTACTTATCAAATATAGAAGTGTTTCATTTTAGTAAATCTGATATTTTTTTCTTTCTATGGATTCCTCTTTGATGGAATCCAGTGTTATATAAGATATATTATCCTGTAAAAAGTATGTATGTCTTTTTTCATGTATAGTGTTACCTATTATTTACACTACTTTGCTGAATTTGAGATACATTTTGAAATTACTTCAAGGAAAGTAAATTTAAATGTTTGCCTTCAGTCACAGTGGGAAAACCCCCTTTTAGAAAGTCATATTTTAAAGCATAATAAATGATTTATCAATAAT